AAATACAGTTAGTCGAATGTAAGAGTGTTTTTAAGTAGGACTTAAGTACATTTTATATGTAATTCCATAACTCTCTTGTCTTTGAAATATATTTGGAGTGTACTTTAAAGTGTTAAATGTACTGTCAAGCATTTATGGTAAACTAAAATATACTTTAATGTAATTTCAATTGAAACTTGCATGCCATGTATTTAAATTGTATCTACTTTATACATTTTCAATGATGAAGTTGCAATTACATTTAGAAGTATTAAATGTAATATCAAATATCACATTACGGTTAAAATGAATTTCAAATGCTTTGCAAATGCTTTAGTATGTTAGTCAAAATAAGTGTACTTCTTTAAAGAATGACAAACGATTATTAATACAATAAATAATTTGACATTATTACAAAGTGCACTTTTTACTTAAGTTAAAACTGTCATGACAGTGTACTTTAAGTACACTTAAGTGGCCTTTTATTTTATTAATATTATCTGCAAATAAAGTTTTTTTTTTTAAAGAGCTGAAGTGTACACTACAAGTGCACATTCATTACAGTTGAGGACACTTCTTCAGAAGGGATTCATAAACTACTGGAACACTTCAACAGGTTGCATGGGTAAACCAGCTCAATGCAAACCTATATATATATATATGTACATTATTCTGCAGTTCTAGAAGAGCATCTGTGAAACCCACCTCCCACATGACAGCAGCAGCAGCATTTAGCAAGAATCCAGCCACAGCAGGAGCGCACACCCTTATCACTCCTCATGACCGTTCAGAGATGCATGTCTCAACACAGAGAGAGATGTTCCTGGAGGACTGCACCCGCGCCAATGAGTAATTACTCTCATTCAGCCTGACTTTACAGAGAGAGAGAGCGAGAGAGAGAGAGAGAGAGAGAGAGAGAGAGAGAGAGAGAGAGAGGCGGAGCAACAGAATCTCTCTCATGTTTCACTTTCAGACAAAGGCCGCAGTCAGTTTGCTGGATGTGATAACGTGAAGCCATGACAATGTGTCCAGCTATAGTATGCTTACGGGGCACCACAGGGGTCGACACTCTCTCCGACTCTGTTTTCTCTTTCTTCTTTGAAAGCACTTTAAATGAGAAACCCTTGAAAAGGGAAACACACATTCCCATACAGATAACTTGAGCTGAACTTCTGAACTGGACGAGAAAAAGAAAAGATTCACTGATGCCTATAGATCATGTCAGAATGAGTGAGGATTACATGAGCTTGATACAGAATGACTAGCTGTTGTTGTTTGTGTGGCAGCAGGTTAAACTGTGTTATCAGGAGACTTGCCACCGGCTGTGTGACGCAATACTGCATCACTGGAATGACTTGAATCAGCAGCACAATACAACCCCCCCCCCCCCCCCCAAACACTAAAACAATACGTACATGTCTGTTTCAGAGATTAAATAAACTTATAAACGCAGTAGCACCAACAAGTATACAGACATGTAAACCACATGTGAATCATGTTGATAGTTAGTGTGACTAACACTGCTAGAACAACTGTGTAGACTTGAGGAGAACTGGCTTCATGCATCCACTAAACATCACCAAAACACCAGTTAAAGGTCTGTGTGTGAGATTCCAGCTGGATATAACAAATCAATCACCGTCGTAACTGTAACGAGACGAAGTGAAGTGACGTGTGCATAATTGCATAATGTGCACTTGTAGTGTACTTCAAATCTTAAAAGTATATTTAAAAAAAAAACTGTTCTTGAAGATAATACAATGATAATGAATTAAAAGGCCACTTAAGTGTACTTAAAAGAGACACTTTCATGACTATTTCATAACATAATTACACTTTTAAAAAGTTTTACTTCAAAGTACATCTTAAATCATAATATTTTAATAATTTATACAATATTTAAAGTGTTTGTGTATATTTTACATGAACAAAGTGCAATTTATTCATATTTCAAAGACTCTATATAAAATTATATATATAAAGATGTACTTAAATCCTACTTAAGTGGGTCAAAAAACAACAACTCACAAATTAAATAAATAAATAAAAACATGCAAGCTCAGGGTTGGTAACCAGAGTTTTGCCAGTGCAGTATGCAGACATGAATATCATGAATGTCCACTCAAACAGAATGCAGTGACGAAACCCAAACCCTCTGCTTCTGACTGGTGAGATGCATTAGATCTATCTAGGAAACATCTCGAATCAAAGTCAACATCTAGATCAACATCTCAGAGTGCATGTGCTGGTTTGGCATGTGTCTTATTACAGCTGCCCCACACATTTCAGTCTTAGATGGATAGTATCATCAAATAGAGAATTAAACAGAATTTCCAGAATAACCATTTCTGACTGTAATAGGTGTATTATGTTGCAGAGCTGCATGGACGCTGCATTCATTTCCATAATGAGGTGTCTTGCTAGGTGTTCTACATTAGGCCCTTTTTGCATTTTGCAGCGGAATCTTTATGGTAATGACACACAGTATCCCAGCACAACATACAGGACTTATGCAAATCAGACAGACTCTAAAATAGACTCAATATTAAGCGCTGAACTCAAAGCCTTCTGAACAGTTTCCCAGCTAACAGGCCATATTCTCAGAACTTTAGCTAATATTCTAGTAAGCGTCTCTCAAAGTTATGAACAAACATTTTTACCAATAATGTTAACAGAACATTTATATAACTAACTTTACATTTAAAATAACATTCCTATAATGTTTTCAAAATGATAACAAATGAAAGTTCCTTTAATGCTTTCTTTAACGTTAGCATAACAAAAAAATAAAATAAAATAAAATAAATAAATATAACATTTTTAAGTTTTAAAAAGCATCTTGGACATTTTTTTCAAAAGTAAATTTTTCATTCGTTTTTAATGTTTTCATGAGTTTTATTTACTGGGAAGGTTAGCGAAACCTTATATTTTTGTTAGCTGAGTTGCTCTATATGAAAAAATTTTCTTGGCAGACAATTTATGAACTATTCTTCATCTTCATCAATGACATTTCCACTTCAGCAAATGAATCATATGAGTTACAATAAATAAAAGATGATTGTAAAATTTCAACACACATAAGGAAATGGAATGTTCCACATTCCAGAGTAAACTTCCATTACTACCCATTTTAGGGCATTCCAGTGTGAGTAATAGTAATAGTGAGTAATAATGCAACACTTTGCATTATTCTTTTAATGAATGCAACGGAAACAGTCTACAGGAATGCTGGTCTGCAGTCAGTAAGCAAACAAACTATTTCCTTCTTCTATTCCTTTTTTTCTGGAATTACTGTACATTGGTGCAAAAAAAATCCAATCAAGTCCTGCCCTACGATATTCCCTGATCCTGATTTACTCTGACATATGCCACATTATAAAAGTTATATCAATGGCTTTTTTCATTTTGACTATAAACAGATCTTCAGTGCTGTATCCTGTGAGCTGGAGATCATGCTGATGCTAATAGGATCACAGCACTGTTTGGGTAAGTAAGACCCAAGCCTCTAAGTATGTGTGTGTAACATCTCACATATACTTTGAGAGACCACTCCTGAAAACAAACGGCAAGTGTGCCCGGCTTCATGTGCTTACTGAGGGCATCGGGACATCCAGGCATTAGTGCACGGAGACAAACATGCTTAGTGTGAATAATGTCAAGAGCACTTCGGAAGTCAATTGCATTTCTATCTGACACACTAGAGTGATGGTGCCCTCTAGGGGACAAAAGTTGCAAGCTGCACTATGGCAGAAAAACGCACAAAACACTATGAACAGGCTACTGGACTGTCCCCCTTTAAACTACTGTAACAACAGGAAGGTTCACATTGGCACACTACCACACTGTTTCTGCAGTATGAAGTACACTACCAGTCAAAGGTTCGGACACACCTGACTGAATTTATGTTTCTCATAATCTTTTGGTCGAAAATTGCATTTCTATCTGACACACTAGAGTGATGGTGCCCTCTAGGGGACAAAAGTTGCAAGCTGCACTATGGCAGAAAAACGCACAAAACACTATGAACAGGCTACTGGACTGTCCCCCTTTAAACTACTGTAACAACAGGAAGGTTCACATTGGCACACTACCATATGACTCACACTGTTTCTGCAGTATGAAGTACACTACCAGTCAAAGGTTCGGACACACCTGACTGAATTTATGTTTCTCATAATCTTTTGGTCGAAAGCTTGTGCTGGCATACAAACAGAACTGGAACACTGCATCCCACAATGCAATGCACTCAACAAACCAACTGGAAGTAATATCAAAAACAGTGTCAACATCTCCTTCCTGACTCATTATTTGATCAGACAGCCAACAAACTTAAATGCAAAATAACTATTTATATCCCAAATGAAAATATATAACTCATGTACAGTATATTTCAAGTGTTTGGAGTCAGTAAGATATCTTTTTGAAAGAAATGTATGCTTTTATTTAGAAAGGATGCATTAAATTGATCAAACGTGACAGGGATTTAAGTGACAAAACATTTCTTTTTCAAAACATTTCTTTTTCAAATAACTGCTGTTCTTTTGAACTTTGAGGGAGAAAATGTATCAATGTTTTCACAAGAATATGAAGCAGCACAATTGTTTTCAACATTGATAATAATCAGAAATGTTTCTTGAGCAGTAAATCAGCATTTTAGAATGATTTCTGAAGATCATGTGACACTGAAGACTGGAGATTTGATCACAGCAATAAATTACATTTTACAATATATTAACCTAGAAAACGGTTTATATCGATGATAATAATATTTCACATTGTTACCATTTTTACTGTATCTATACTCAAATAAATGCAGCCTTGAGTGAGCAGAAGAGACTTCTTTCAAAAATACTTCAAAAATCTTATCGTCCCCAAACTTTTGAACGGTACCGTTTAATTCTCAAAGAAAAAAAAAATGCTAAAGAATATTTATCTATAAAAACCATATGTTCATTATCTACTAAAAGCAAGAGCACAGCAGAGAATCTTTCAGCCGATTGAGATTGAAGTCCTGCTCTTACCTTTGCCTGCTGGAAAAAAGCAGTCCATCTCCACACTGCTGCGAGAGTGAGAGATGCACAGAGCGCTGCTGGGCACCAGTCCCTCCTGAGGGGGGGTCTTGTCTGTGGTCCGGACCAGACACCATCCCGGCCGGTCGCTGGGCCGCTCCAACAGCTCCACCGTCTGACCGGTCTGGACGCTGAGCTCAGACGCGCTGCTCGCCACAAAGTCCTGCAGGACCACCGTCAGCTCACACCCTCCGGAGAGCTAGAGAGCATAGCAGAGAAACAGACGGACTGATTTTATTTTCTATTTTATTTTATATTTTAAATTTTATTTTATATAATATTTTATATAATATAATATTTTATTTTATATTTCATTTTATTTAAAAATGTATTTTATATTTTATTTTATATATTTTTTATTTTATTTTTATTTTTATTTATTGTATTTATTTTTTTTGCAAAATTTTAGCTTTATATTTTATTAAAATTTTATTTTATTTTATTTACTATTATATATATATTTTTTGCAAACCTTTAGGTTTATATGTATTTAGCTAAACACAAATCAAATACAATGTAAACAATATTATACAACATCATAATATATAAACAATGTCTCAATACTGGCATAGCGTGTTACAACACACTCAAATAAAAAGAGCATTTAGTGCATTTTCCCAAAATGAGAAAAACAGAGAGATAAGAGAGATATGAAGGAGGAAGTCTTCATCTGTTAGAGTAAGGACTCTTCACAGATGGGAAACTGATTCCTGATCAGATGTGGCATTTCAGTAATGACTGAAGAGGAAACCAGTGTGTTTGGGGACATTAAGGCTGCTGCATACACTATAGAACCTGAACTCTGGTCAGACTGTACATCTGTTATCAGTTTTACAGCTCCCCAAGCTCTCAAATATTAACAGCATAAAAAGACTGATCTGAAAACATGGCTCACATGTGCATTATTGTTTTTGGAGAGCCCATGGGTTTCAACAAGCATTATTTAGAAGAGACCAAAAGATAAAAGTGTGTGTATTTAATGAAGATTTCATATTTTTTTAAAGACACCCATAATAAAGAAGAAGAGCAAATGGGAGTCAAAATGAAAGAGGACTCATTTAGAGTTTCATCAGTTTATGGAAATAAAATCGGTTTGATTTTATTACTTCAGTTGTTAAAAGTGTGTGTATTTAATGAAGATTTCATATTTTTTTAAAGACACCCATAAAGAAGAAGAGCAAATGGGAGTCAAAATGAAAGAGGACTCATTTAGAGTTTCATCAGTTTATGGAAATAAAATCGGTTTGATTTTATTACTTCAGTTGTGTTCTATTCAAACACCTCCTGGTTCCCTTTCAAGGGAACTTCAAACTGCGTCCTCTAGGGGTCACTATGGGGAACGCCTCGTCGTGACCCGTGTCTGAAGCATACATTGAAAAATCATCAACAACACGTTGGCGGGCGACAGCCCATGACATCACTACCGGTGCGATTATAGTATAAATAGGCGCCGGGAGAACATGTAATTTTCTTCTTCATCTTCACTGATCGTTTTGTTTGAAGCGTGCATTTCTGTGGTAAGAGCGATCTATATTCCTATCGTTATGGCGAGCACTAGCAAAGCGTTTAGAGGGTGTGTGCATCCGCGTCATCGTTATTTGATACCTGACGACACACACGATCTCGGTGTTGTTTGTTTGGGCAAAGAGCACGCACGCGATGTCCTTGAGGGGGAAATCCGCGTTCATTGTGAGCGTCGTGACCCGTGTCTGAAGCATACATTGAAAAATCATCAACAACACGTTGGCGGGCGACAGCCCATGACATCACTACCGGTGCGATTATAGTATAAATAGGCGCCGGGAGAACATGTAATTTTCTTCTTCATCTTCACTGATCGTTTTGTTTGAAGCGTGCATTTCTGTGGTAAGAGCGATCTATATTCCTATCGTTATGGCGAGCACTAGCAAAGCGTTTAGAGGGTGTGTGCATCCGCGTCATCGTTATTTGATACCTGACGACACACACGATCTCGGTGTTGTTTGTTTGGGCAAAGAGCACGCACGCGATGTCCTTGAGGGGGAAATCCGCGTTCATTGTGAGCGTATTTTAATGAAAAGCTCCGCTCTCGTTTGTCTCTCTTTTTGAGGAAAGAGGCTCAGGACCCAACGCTGCTGAGGCACGGAAGAGGATGGGCTCGTGGGGATCGCAGGTGGATCCGGCTGATGAGTTTAAAAAGGGATTTTCCCTTTCGCGTTCGTCGGCTGTGGATGAGAGTAAGCTGCTGGAGGATGATGTTATTTCTTTAACATCGTTTGATCTGGGGGCTGGTGATCTGCTGGGTTCGGCCCGGTAAGAGCAGGAGATGTCTGAGGATGGTGAAGAAGCTGAGGCTGAGCCTTCCCAATCCTCCTGCTCTGCGTATGGTGAGTTTTGAGCATTATCTTTCTTACGCATTCATCGATTCTAGCATACGAGTTATGCCAACATCGAGGCGATGCGAGTAAACGACTATGAGAGGATGCCCCTGTAAAAAAGGCGACTGGCTAGCTATCTTTCTATGGGTGAGACATCCTCTCTTAAAACTCCCTCCTTGCCATCTCGCTTAGATGGCAGGGCATACGCAGCAGGTCAGGCTGTTGCTTCGTTGCGCACAATGCGGTGCTCCAGGCATATTAGGCTGACCTGCTGGAAGACCTGGATAAAGGCCTGATGAGGTAGCTGAGTTTCGCCGCACCACAGATCTTACTCTCTGTGCTACTAAGCATGGCAGCTATAGTAGGTATTGAGAGACATCTGTGGGTGAACCTGGCAGATATCGGGATGGAAGAGAGGGGCTTTCTTCTTGATGTGCCGGTTTCGCCTTCCGAATATTTTTGGTTACCTCCATTGAGA